TTATGAGCTTATGTGTGTGTGACATAAAGGCCTAATGTGTCCAGCATATGCATCTACATCTCAGTCATCCTGACAATGTTTCACGGGCAGCCTGGCCTTTGCATCCTGCCCTGCCCCCTTCTACCTGATAACCTGCCAGGTGGAGATGCCCGCCCCTTCTGCCTGACAAATCTTCCACAATCTCCCAGATGCAGCCCAGTATCTGCATTTCAGTATTACAGAACAGGCGGGGGTTAAATCTCATTTTCATGGGGGTGGGTTATGCGTGGCCCTAAAGAAAAAATGTTGTTTTTATGCTGACTGAACCGGGGTGGTTAAAAACTCCATGGCCAAACTCAAAAAACGACTGGAAAAATGGCAACGGGAAAGGAAAACTCAACAGGGATGGTTTGAGCCATGGTTCGGCCGGTCCCCATGGCTTACTACTCTACTGTCAGCCCTAACAGGACCCTTAATTGTTCTATTCCTAATTGTAACCATAGGACCTTGTGTGTTAAATAGACTCATCACCTTCGTGCGGAAACAAGTTAAAAATGTTAAACACATGGTCATAAGACAACAATATGTCACATTAAAAGATACAAAAACAAATCTCTAAGATTAGAGATCCTCACAACAAGGAGTGGGGAATGAAGAGTTAAAATTGTATATGTGCAGGTGTAAAAAGTTAAGCTTAAGCTTACAGGTTTAAACCTTGCTGGTACAGCTGTAAAAAAATAAGACAGAGTAGCACCTTGGCAGTAGGGACTCCATTTTGGAGCACTTGAGACTGCATTCTGGGAAAGCACCCCCCCACTGTGAGACTCTGGTCTGAAACTATGATCTCAAATAGTCAGACAATAGCAGTGCACTACATCACCCTTGGCAACGCACAAAAACCCCCTAGCATGACTGCTCAAGCTTAAAAGTAGAAAGGTTGCACCTGGGTTACCTGGGCTAATAATAAAGATGTGATTTGTCTGTGTCTTACATTAATGTCAAGTCCTAATTGCTAATTGTAATATTGTAACTGGTATTGTCAAGATTATGATAAATATTAATTTCAATTAGGTTTTAGGTTATGTTGACCCCAGTAACCATATACTCTTTTGATTTTATGTACTCTCTTTTGATTTTAGCAACTGTGTATAGCAACTGTGCATAGCAACCGTGTATTCCCCCCTTCCCGGTTTTGTGGTTTTTGCCTTTATAAACCCTAACCTTTGGTTATTCGGGGCTGCTCTGTTCATGTATGGTCAGACAGCCCCAGCATGCTGGATAATCAATAAAGCTTCCCCTTGCTGTTTGCATAAGAGATGTCTCTTGGTGACGTTTTTCGGGCAGTCGACTCTAACAGATAAGAGAAGACTACTGGAAAATGATAGCCCAAACTGAAACCTATGGGAGAATCATAGGTTCTACAGAACCATCCAACCAACCTTCACATAAAAAAAAAAATTCCATGTGTTGTTCCTGATGAGAAAAACAGGCCAAACTCATAAGCTGAGGCAGTCGTAGATTATTCATTTCTCACTTCATAAGATGATATCTAAGGTACAGGTATTTTGGCACAGTTGATGAAACCGTGACTTAGGATGCGCCATCTCTGACCTGAGTACTTGACTTTGAGTCTCACCTCTACTTCTGCTCCAGACGATGGCTCAAGTTCTTGTGACCCTATCACCCATGTGGGTGACTTGAAAAATTTCTGACTCCTGGCTTTCGCCTGCTCTAGCCCCAGCTGTTGCAGTATTTGGGGAGTGAACCGTGAATAGACGATCTCTCTCTTTCTAGCTCTCTTTCCTTCTGTTATGCTGACTTTCAAATAAATATAAATAAATAAATAAATCTTAAAAAGAAGATATTTGATATGTTAAACACTAAAATGTTTTCTGAAAGCCTTGAAAATAGGAATTTTTTTAAAATGTGTTTTATTTATTGTCTACACATTCAATTCAGTTGCATTTAATGAACACCCATTCAATATAAATGTCATTATGTAGAATCCCAAAATAAATAGCATTTTCTCCTAACATTTAAGCTTTGTTAAAAAAAATTGTTTCTACTTGCTAATTGCATGGTTACTCAAAAATTAATACATATTTCTAGTATGCATTTTTAAGAATTAAAGACATTTACATCTAAACATTGTATCTTTTCCACTACTGTATAGATAAGACCAATAATTATGGAGTCTGAAGCTAACTCTTGCTTTCAAAGAAAGTGACCCAAGCCTGTTTCAGTCCCAGTTAAAATCAAGCAGATTTCTTGAAGATGGATGTGAATCACGACTGATTGGATGAAAGCACATTCTAGCATCAAACTCCCTTTGAGAAGAAACAAGTGCACAAGTAGCATCTGAGGAAGCTCAGATGTACAATGGTGATATATAAAGTCAAAGTTATAAAAATCTGCACTTTCACCTGAACGTGGAATGCATGTAACATACCTGATAAGTTAGTGGTTATGCATACCCACCACTTTTAAATATGTATAACCGTTTGCATATCTTCCTCAAACTTAATGAATATGCATGACTTTCTTTAAAAAAGAGAACCTAGGGCCGGAGCTGTGGTGCAGCAGGTTAAAGCCCTGGCTTGAAGCGCCGGCATCCCATATGGACGCTGGTTCTAGTCCCAGCTGCACCTCTTCTGATCCAGCTCTCTGCTATGGCCTGGGAAAGCATTACAAGATGGCCCAAGTCATTGGGCCCCTGCACCCACGTGGGGAACCAAAAAGAAGCTCCTGACTCCTAGCTTCGGATTGGTGCAGCTCCAGCCATTGCAGCCATCCGTGGTGTGAACCAGCGGATGGAAGACTTCTCTCTCTGTCTCTACCTCTCTCTGTAACTCTTTCAAAAAAAATAAAATAAATCTTTTAAAAAGAGAGAGAGAGCCCTATAAAACAGGTAACTCTTCATTTCTCAGGGAACCAGATTTCCCATTAAGATTCCATTCTGCTTATAGCATGAATTGTGGTCTTCGTGCCTCTATTGGCTATATTGCCTCTATTGGCTAGACAAGAACCTTGAGCATTCTGCCCAATTGCAAAGCTAAAGTAGCTGCCTAGGAATTGGTAACCATATCTTTTGTACCTGACTTGATATATTAAGATATTACAGAAATGTCATTAGAACAATCTCTTCTTAGACAGGCAGATGTTTGGCCTGACTTCACTCATCTCTATTTTTTGTCTTGTTTTTGTAGATGTGAAATATTCAATTCCAGATGCCTGGTTCTTCCTGGTGTAACTTCTACAGGGGAGCAACAGAATAGCTTCCTTCTATCCTCTTAGGTTCTTTGATTGGACCACTAAATAAATTGATACCAGAAACAGTAGAAAAAACATTTAATTCTGTGCTTATGCATGGGAGTCCCACAAAACCTGCAGTTCCAAGAAGGATCAGATGATTGAGGTTTGTATAGCATTCTGAGTGACAGAAAAGAACAGGGGCTTGAGGTTTCTGGGTGTGGGGGTGATGCCACAAGTTATGGGTGAAGAAAAGGAAGAATTTTGTGATAAATAAAAGATGTCTTGTCATACAGATAAAGTCTCTCAGGCGATGAAAATGATCTGGATGGAGCATGTTTCACAAAGGAGTTCAGACCATTGTCAGTTGGTAGTCCCACATCCCTTATCCGTGTGCCAGCTCCTCTGTTTCTGATACAGCTTCCTGCTAATGCACACTATGGGAGGCAGCAGATGATGGCTCAAGTTCTTGGGCACCTGCCACCCATCTAGGAGAACCAGATTGTGTTTTGGGTTCCTGGGTGTGGCTTAGCTCAGCCTTAGTTACTGTAGTTATTTGAGTAAACTTGTAGATAAATCTTTCTCTGCCTCTCTGTCTTAGTCTCTCTCTGTCTCTTCACCTTTCCAATAAAATTAAAATAAATAAATGGAAACAAAAATTTTAAGCTCTCTGTAGCACCTGTCTTCCTGATTCAGTTACTTTACTAATAACAGAGATAAATGTTCCTTCAGAGCTACTCTTGGGTCTATACTTTCTCAGAATAGCCAGCTCTAAGTATGCCAAGTTAAGTATATTTTGGATGGCATATTGCGGTCTCCTGTAGTCATATTTTGAGATGGTGTGTCCTGGGCCCCAAAACTTTTCAACTTACATACTATAAGGAATTCCTACTACTACTACTACTATTACAACTCCTACTACTAATAATAAAGAACTTGCAAACATTTATCAGATATTAGGACACTTCAAAAAGTTGATGGAAAATAGAATTATAGGAAAATTTATGTAGGTGCAAAAATTCCACACATTGTTTTGCCATAAAACACATTTCCATGAACTTTTTGAAGACTCCCCATATTCATTTTGTGCCTCACAGTGTTCCAGGCACTTCAAAAGTCCTAAGTTATTTAAACATCGAAACAATTCCATATTACCATTTTCATTTTATAGATAATGGGACTGATGCAGAGGAGGTACATCAGTAAAAGTTATGCCAGTACAACTTTATTCTCTATGAAATTCAAACAGGAGATAGTCAATTTAAAGAATTGTTTATGCAGGTGACAAGTTGAGAAGGTAACAAGTACAGTGAGTTAAGTCAGGATTTAGCAACAGCAAGAAATTCTCACCCTTAATTCAGAACGATAAAGAGATAAGGCAATACTTTTAGATATCAAGGTCCTGCCTCACTGGGAAGACCTGAAACTAGGCTAGGCCAGCAAGGGAAAGGTAGAAGCACCAAACAGATGTAGTCCAAGGAGATACTACCCAGGGGAGAGGGAGAATGAGAACCAGAAATAACCTGGGTTTTCCCTTTCTTTCTCTCTCCAGCACCTCACCTATGCCTTTCATTAGCCAACACATTTTGAATGCAGCTGGCCTAAGAGCATGATGTGTGCAGGAGTGGTCCTCTCTGTGATTGAGAACAGAACAATACAAGGTCAAGGAGTGCATATGTTCGCAAATAGTCAAGGACTGGAGTGGGGGAAGATTTGAATTCCTTGCCCAGCATCACAGAGGTAGTACGCTGTGGTGTGTTCCTCAGGATTTGTATGGATGTGGGAATGATGTGCTCTGAATAAAGGAGAGAGAAGTCTTGAAATACAATATTATTCACTTCCTAATATGTATTTTTCTGTGCCCACAGCATTACATTTCATAGCAAAATTCCAGGGAAATTTGTGCTTACCACAATTGAGAGCAAACCAGCCCCAGAAAACCTGTAAGGCATTCAAGAGTAACATCCATGGAGAGCTGTTTGAATAGCATCTGGACAGAGTTTTAATCATCTCCACTTGGTCAACTTTACTGTGGTGATGAACACATAGAAGCTATTTCATGTTTATTATCTGGAGCAACGTTGAACGACTCTTTCTTCTTTGTGTAATCTATTCTCAGTGGCTTTCTTTTCAGCATACCTTGACTTTAAAGGTGTTTATAACCAATCATATCCTAAGCACAGTAATCTCTAACCAGTACAAACTCACCCTGCTTACCTAAATCCTACTTTTTCAGGCCCAGCAAATGTAAGTTTACTGTATAATAATAAATGAAATGCTACTTTCATGGAATACAGAATACATAAATACTGGCTGAAATCGGATCACCTTGGAACACATCCCAAGGCTCTGTAAATGTTTTTGGACTTGTGTCTCCCAGGCCTGTGTCACTTTTTACAGACATTGCTTATTGTTGCTGTCACTACAGAGAGAGAATTCATCTTCTGAGTATGCTATGAATGGAAGGAAAGAAGTGAACCAGGGTCTGGGACCTCTAAGGCATCTTCCATCTGAGAGTATGACTTTGTGTTTGTTAAAGGTAAGGCAAATCTAGTGAGGCAGACAAGAAATGACCACTTTCAGGCCAGCTCTCAGTTGATAAAATGTAGGTTTTTCTCCATATAAACTTTGCTTTCTGAGTAGACCTTGCAAACAGTAGTTCATATTTGACAAGATTCTGTTTTCAATTCTAGAAGCCTTTCCACTAGAAAATATTCCAAGTACAAGTGTCAATGTAAGCAGGAAAGTTGCAAAGGTAGTATCCCTCGGTGTGGTAATGTGTTTCTCACCAATCTAAAAAGTTATGGGATCAGGCAGGGAAAAAAAGGTATTTGATAGAGCAAAGGTATAAAGTGTAAAATTAGGTGAAGTTGATTGAATATGCTTGCTGTGGGCTCAGTTGTGTCCACCTAAAATCTAATGTTGAAGTCTTCAACTGTCTTAGAGTATAGCCACATTTTGCACTAAAGTCTTTAAAAAGGTGATCAAGTTAAAATGAGGCTGTTTGAGAGAAGCCATAATTCAGCATCACTGGTGTCCTTAGAAGTTGAAGATAGCACAGGCGAGCATGCAAAGACCATGGGACAAGGCAGCAAGGGCATGCTCATCTGTAAGCCAAGAAGAGAGACCCTAGGAGAAAGCCCTGCTGCTGGTGCTTTGATCTTGGGTTTCCAGTCTCTAGGAATGTGAAAAAATGCTGTTCTTTAAGATAATAATCTATGGTATTTGGTTATGACAGCCCAAGCAAACCAATGCAATACCAAAGAAGCAACTTCTGGGAATCCTCAGAATATGAGTCTATTGTCAGTACTAATAAGGACTTGTTCTGTTGTATAACACAATATGGCTGGACTGTTGGTACCAAAATTTATCCACTTGAAAGGTTATCAGAGCCTGGGAAGGATGAGAGAGAGAGAGAGAGAGAGAGAGAGAGAGAGAGAAAATGGTTAACAGATACAAGAGTGCAGCTGGACAGGAGGTATAACCTCTAGCGTTCTATAACACAGTGGGATGACTATGGCTTACTACCATAAACTGAATATTTCAAAAGAGCTAATAGAATTTTGAGTGTTCCCAACACAAAGAAATACTATCTGTCTCAGGTGATAGGTATGTCAGTTACCCTGATGTGATCATACACACTATATATTGAAATGCCACACTATACCCATTGAATATGTACCATTACTGTGTCAATGAAAACAGCTTTCAGAAATAAAACACACTCTCCACTCGCAATAAGTTAGAATTGGGCATGAACTGTAGCATAAACATACATGTTTTCTTTTCTTCATGGCTGTCCATGTCATTCACTAAGTATTTTATTGTGCGTGAATTCGACAGTACTTCAGGGTTCTTACTGATGAACACTGTTATTAAATAGACCACTTGTGGCATCATAGAAACCTTTGCTTTGAATGATTATTATTTTTTCCTTATTGGTGGAAATAAAATAACCCCAAAATATCAGTACATACAAAGCAAGGAAAGAATTCTGATCCTCACTGAAGTAGATTTAAGAACACTTGTCACAGAAATTGCTCAAATCTATGCTGCAATTGGAATGCTTTTCTCTGATTAATGTCTTATAAACATGTTTTGGCAACATAGCAGACTTTTAGCATCTGGAAATGGATTTTCAAAATCTTTCCATATAAAGAGAAATGAATAGTCAACATAGAAGAAAATGGATTTCTTTGGTTCACATAAGAGACACAATATTGAAGATTAGAAATGCATTTTGATCCAAAATAAATATTAAAAAAAAAAGACTTGGAGTTCATCTCAGTCTGCTTTTTATTACTGTAACAGAACACCTGAGAGTGAGTAACTTAGGAAGAACAGAAATGTATTGACTGGGGTGTCCAAGATGGAGGGGCAGCATCCGGCAGGAGCCTTCATGCTGCTTCACCCCATGGTAAGTGGATGAAGCAGGCAGGGAAACAGAGGCAAAAAGGGGGCCAAACCCCTTGTCTTATAAGGGAACATTCTTTGAAATAAGAATGCGCTCTCTCGATGACTCATTCTTGAAGACCTAATCATCTCTCTTTAGGCCCCAACTCTCAACACTGTTGCTCTGGGGGACTGTCTTCATTACATGCATATTGGGGACACCACTAAGCCACTGCGGGGTTAACAACTAAATTTTTCATTTTATAGAAATTCCACAGTTTAGAAGTTATTAAACTATATGGTGAGCATATGTGATTCTCATATCATGGATGCCCAGGCATATTAAAGTTGACTCAGAAACAGCAGAATCAACACAGGCATAAATTTCAAAAGCAAGTTAGGAAGTCCTGGCAATGGATTTTATTTATTTATTTATCTCACTTATTCTATGAATGTATCTTATTTATCCTGATTGTAAGCATTCTTAAAAAGGAAAGCCTACGAAGAAATGTAAAATTATCTTCTCAAAGTTCTACAAGGAAACAAATAAAAAATACTAAAAATGTTAAAAAAATTTAAAAACGATATATAAGAAACCATCATACGTAAGTTGAAAATGAGTGATCCAATGGTAATTATGCCTACCATATAGAGTTTTATTTGATGATTATTTAGTAAGCACTGGTAAGACCCTTTCCTGTGAAACTAAAAATTTTAACTCAGAAGAACACTGTATTGCCAAATTCTTGAAATTAAACTTTAGTATCTGGCAATATCTTTTCTTGGTACTAGATTTTTATGTTAAATTTAACTTTCTTAAATTAAAACATATAAATCTGGTTTTCTAAAAGAACCCCAAATATGGAGAAACATGAACACAAGATAGAGAAGTAACTTTCATCCGTATGTGAGGACCTCTGGGGTCTAGTATGCTTTCTCTCACAGGTCATCCTCCAGGTCGCAGTGTTTTTACAAGGACATTTGAGTCACTGGGTGAGAATTACTGTATTATTCCGAAAATTCCTGGTCTCCAAACATTTCATACATGTTCACGATTTTCTGGCAAAGATGTGGGATATCAATAAAAGCTCCCAGTTGTCACAAACGAGCAAACCAACGTGATTCAAGGGAAAGACCACAAAAGGTGGGTGTGACCAAGGTACAAAGCCAGTTGTAAAGTGCACAGACTTGTCATGATTAAATAAAGTCAGGGAACATCCAAGGATCATTGACCAAGCTTGCTTTCCTTGTCATGGAACTGAAAAATCCTACCCGCACTTGCACGTGGGTCTGCATTTGTGACAGTATTCACTGATTATCCCTTCCTTTCTCCGCGGCGGCACACTCACTTCCGTCCCCAGATTTAGCTCGTGGAACTCAAGATATTTTTGCGACTACAGATTGCTTTCTCATTGTCAGGTTTTCCTCACAATTCCGTACGCGGTCAAGTATTCCACGCATGGCAGTTAATTATTTGCTTATTTTGACGACTGGGAAATTAGAATTATGTCCCATCCAGGCAGTGCTGCTTTTGTCACGTTCGTTGCTGCGCAGACCTTATTGCATGTATATGAAGTCTTCAGTAAATAAACCTTATTCCTCCACAGCCTAGCAGCCACTGGCACACATCCGAATTAGCGGAGTAGATGCCAGATGTCAATATACATTTACGTAATGACTAATTAAGGAGAAAAGTACATCCCAGCTAGGGGACTTCTGACAGCCCTTTGCTCATTTGACTTTTCTTCTGGGGAAAGTTGATTGCTCGTGAAATTCCTAGAAAGGCGAGGGGAGGGGACGTGTGACATCGAAAGGAGCCGGGATTCGGGACCCTGCGTGGGAGCTGGGACGGGACCAGCTCGGAAGGAAACCAGGCATTGCGCAAACAGCCATCAGACCAGTCCTGCGCGCCGGGAGGACGCCGCACTCCGGCCTCTGGGCTCCGGGCTTCGCGCAGCCCGAGGCGGGCGCCTCGCAACCTGCCGCAGGGGCGGCTCCGCGTCCCCGCCCGCTGCGCGCGCCCTCGCCCCACCCAGGGAGCGCCAGGCCCGCGCGGGACGGGGCGGGGCCAGGGGGCGGGGCTCTGCGGCGGCCCCGCCCCGCCCCGCCCCGCCGCCCCGCGGGTCACAATGTAGGGTTAGGGCGGCCGGCGGGCGGGGCTCTGCGGGGGAGGAGCCGCCGGGCGGGGGCCGTGACGGCGGCTGGAGGCGGGGAGGGGAGGAGGAGGTGGAGTCGGGGAGGGAGGAGGACAGCGCCATTCCGGCCGGCCGCTCCCTCCGTCCCCTCGCGCCAGTCCCCGCAGTGGCCCGCGAGCCGGCGGCGAAGGAGCGCGCGAACGCGTGACGCGGCCCCGCCGGCCCGCGCCCTCCTCCCGCGCCCGGGCGTCCGCCGCCTGCTCATGGCCTGGGCCGCGGCAGCCGAGCCGCGCTGAGGCGAGTCGCGCGGAGACGTGGGGCCGCCGCCGTGGCCCTCGCAGTGGGCGCCTCGCCGCCTGCCCGCGGTGCCGGCGCACGCCGACCGCCATCGTCTTCGCGCCTGGCTGGCGGGGGCGCTGTCCTCCCCGGCGGTCCGCGCCGCTCCCTGGAGCTCGGCGGAGCGCGGCAGGCAGGGCTGGCGGGGGCGCGAGGAGCCGGACGCCGTCGCCGCGGGGGCCATGACCGTGGAGCAGAACGTGCTGCAGCAGAGCGCGGCGCAGAAGGTGAGGCGCGCCCGCGGGCTGCCGCCGTGCTGCCTTCGCCGGGCCTCCCCGCCTCGCCCGGGGCCTCGGCTGCCCCGGCTCCTCCGGTTGCCCTGGGCCAGGCTGCGCGTGGGAAGCGGGGTGCAGTGTGCGGGGTGCAGTCCGCTTCTCTCCCCCTGCCGATTGTTTCCTTGTCACGGGCGCTGCCGGGCAAGGGAGAGCGACCCTCACATTCCTGCAAGTTAGGGCTGCTTTATTAAACTTTATTCTTCCTCCTATTTAGCAAAACGAGAGGCAGGTGCCCTCCCTGTGATCACAGTTTGGGGTTCCAAGTGTGTTTCAGGCCTGCTACTTCCCCAGAACCGAATGGCCCTGTGCGGCCGGTACCTTGGCCAGGTGCACCCTGTGAAGAAGTGAGGGATTGGATGGGGTTCCTCTCCGATTTCGGTTTCTTTTTCTGACCAGAGAAGCCTTCCCTGAAAGGCAACCCCCTGGCCGTGTTATGCCAGGAATCTTGTGTCCCCTGAGTTTGACCTTGTTCCCTCGTTCACCCTCTCGTCTTCGCAGTAGCCACACGTTCCGATGGTCACTCACCGGAGGGGAAAGGCACTGTTTTGTGAAGCTTCCAGTCTTTAGGGTTGTAGGGTGACAGATCTTCCCTCCCTAGGAAATCTGCTTTCAGAATGTAAAGCGCAGGCTCTCAGGCTTATGCCCTATCCTGAGGAGTAGTTGGCTGGGACTTTTTTTTTTTTTTTTTTTTTTGGTCTCCCCTACCATTTGTGTGAAAAGCATTTTGAGCCAAAGGGAACTACTGCTTTAATTGTGTTGGAATTCCGGGGGGAAGGTAATTAGGGTTTACTCTGAGCCAGCACCCAAGCTGTGTTTAGTTTGTTTGCAGTGAGTAATGACTGTTCCACCCTGTTGTAGTTTTGGTACAGTTGTGTTTTACCTGTGCTTGACTTTAAGGCCTAAAATGGGCAGTCTCTGAGCTCACAGCCTGCTACTTTTGCTTTAAGAGTATTTTTAGTATTTCATGCTACTACCTGAGATAATTGAAGATACTTAAGAATTTGACAGAGTTGCTTTTTAAACTTTTGCTTGTCAGGTGATGCTCCTATAAATTTAGAAGTTTATTTCTGGGCTGTAATTTACTTATGGAAAAATAATTCAGGCTTTAATAATGGGAGTTTAAAACAGTTTGCCTCCTAATCCTCTCTATTCTATTTTTAATACCTTGAACTTTAGTTTTTGATGTTGATGTGATGAAGTATGTAGGTTCATGAAGGATTACATGTTCATACGACTGTTTATAATCTTCAGTGTTGAGTATTCAAGCTTGTCTTTCATTTGTAGCTCACTTCTTGCATATCATGTCATTAATTTGTTTTTCTAGTTGACATTGACCAAACTCTTTTAGCTTAAAGTCATATAATGCAGACTCTATTATATGGTTCAGAGATTTACGCATAAAATAAATAATCAAGTTACTGAAAGTGATGGCTGTCAACTGATTTCCCAGTTTTATTGCCTGTTTGTTAAACCAAAATATTTCCATTATGATGAATGTGTGCTTTATATCATTTAAATTGGGGACATTTTGTAGAGCAACATAATGTGTCTGTACTTCCACTATGATTTTTTTTTTAAAAAACAATGTATTAATTTGCCTCAATATTAAATTATTGCCATTCAGAATTATTTAAAAATACTTATATGGATATAAGTACTTTTAAATTGTTCACCTCAAATAAGTTGACAAATATAAATCATAAGGTGGTAACTAGGAAGTGAACTTGAAACTCGTAACTAGGAAGGGAGCTTCATACTTCAGGAGAAACAAAAGTGAAACTCTGGTGTATATTGCATAGCCAAAATTTCAGCTCGTTTTCTGCTCTCTTTAAAAAAATTGCATAGATGGTGATACTTTTAAAGTAAACAGTTATGTTATGATGGTCAAAACGGTTTCTTATAGTTTCAAGATTTTTTTTTTCTTTTGCAGAGGGATGTAAGATTAATAATCTTTTTGAAAAAAAAACCAGTGCTACAAAAAGCTTCTAAAGTGCTTTTGTTCTCCTACAAAGTAACTTGTCACTGGGTAGTTTGATGAGGAAAGGGGTTATTTTTCCTCTTGTGTTCTTTGCTTAAGTTTGGTCAAGCTGGGCAGTTAGGAGATGTAGTAAAATTGTCCACAGTTGCTTTTCTGAGGATCGGATGCTACGGGAGAGGTGGAGTTGCCAGTAGACTAGCTGCAGTTAAATCCTATAGTAATTTTGGTGCTGAGCATGTATATTCAGCTTTTGTGCTTATACTCCTAATTACCTAGTGAGAGTCCTAAGATCTCAGAAATTTGATACATAGATTTAAATTCCAAATGAGGTTTCTTTAGGGCCACCTTAGGAGGTTTGCTTCCAAGGAAGAATTTAGAGAGGGAAGTGAGCAGGATACTATTTATATACAATGTATCCTTCTGAGTTGACTGAAGAAGTATGAAGTACCTAAGAGTAGCTGCTTTTCCTGTATTGTTTCACTCTAGAGCTTAGAGTAGTTCTTTGTGCCCTTAGTGGGATCTTGAAATATTTGGTGAATGAAATATAATGTGGACTGTTTCTAAAAGGAATCAAGTACAGTACTTACCTTAGTTTTCTAGCTGAATTTAGAGATTTAAAAATTATTGAGAAATATTGAAAGCTTGAAATTGCTTGTGGAAAGAAAGTAGTAGTGTTAGTGAAAAAGACAGGATGTGGGTTAGATCTAGGTCACTTTTTTGTGACCTTGAGCAACTCATTAAATGCCTCTGTATCTTCTTTTAAAGCTTTAAAGATAGCATGATTAGACACGAGCAACTTTAGATCTGAGTTGTTAATGGAGCTAATCAAGAATTTTGTACACAGAGGTTTACAAAAAAGAGGTAGTGGGAGATGGAAGCTAAGGGTTTGTAGGGATTTGTAGTCAACTTCCACTTAATTATCTGCATAATAAGGGTTAGGTGGGAGAGATGTCACAGATTAGCCAAATTCAGAGTTAACACTTGAAAAAAAAAAAGCTGGATTCATGGTAAATTTCTTAATTAAGAAAGCATGAAGTATTTTGTTCTTTAGCTATCACCTGAGGCTAGAAAAATATATAATGTAGCATTTGACAATCTTATTCAAATCACTTTAAATGTTACATAAAAGAGTAATCTTTACTAGAAAATTTGTTTATCTTGTAGTTAGGATAAGACGATTTCCACAGAGAGAGCCGAAGCTGTACATTTTTTCTTTATTCTTTTGTGTCCTAATTTTGATTTGTGTAGTAAAATTGCAGCCCGCTTTCATGGATTCTTGTCAGTTCTAATATTTTAAAAAAAATTTCTTCAATATTCTATGTATCTAGACCATATCATTAGGCCTTTCTTGTCAAGTTTCTTAATTTTCTTATTTTGCTGCTTTAACTGAGATTACAGTACATTACTAAGATTAATGCTAGTTTCTATTATGTTTTGTTTCATAATGATGTGGAAATTACTTTATATACATAAATTTTTTACGTTTCCAAAAATAAATTTAGTTGTTGACTCATCTCAGATTTCTTTTTTCTTTTGTGATAAATGAAGAGGTATTTATGTGTCAATGATATGATAAGAGCAGTAGTTATAGTAGCAAGCGTGAATATTTACTGTGTACTGCTAGGCACTGTGCTATGAATTGTATACATTTTTTCATGTACTCTTCCTGACCACTTGTGAAATGAGCACTGGTTTTTTTGTTTTCCTCCTTTCTTATACCTGAGGAAGTAGTTTGGGGGGTCTTCACAAAGTTCACAAAGTTCACAGTGTGTACAGTGTGTACTGTGAAAATTATACATGAATTTCAAGATTTCTTTTTTACCAAAATAAATTTATCTTTTAACTCAGTTTTCCATGAACTTTCTAAAGTTCCCTTGTGTTAGAGAACTAATGCAATATTTCGTCTCCAGTTTGTGTTGAGGGTGGAAGTTTAACTAGGTGGACTCTCAAGACTCTGCCACTGACCACAATGCTTTATTGATTTGACTGTCTTTGCATTTTTGATAAAATCCTATTTGGTTATGATGTTATATTTTAATATATTTCCAAACAGTACACTACATTTTTAAAAACATTTTTATTTATTTATTTTTTTTGAAAGGCAGAGTTAAGAGAAACAGAGGGGATCTTCCATCTTCTGGTTCACTCCCTAAATGGCCACAATGACTTGGGCTGGGCCAGGCAAAAGCCAGGAGCTTCCTTTGGGTCTCCTATGTGGATGAGGGGCCCAAGGACTTGGCCATCCTCTGCTGGTTTCCCAGGTCCCTAGCAGGGAGCTGGATTGGAAGTGGAGCAGCTGGGGCTCAAACTGACATCCATATGGGATGCTGGTGCTGCGGACTATGGCTTAACCTGCTGGCCCCAGTACACTACATTTTAAGCTAGGATTTAATGTGTGTTCATGTGTGTATATTCTTCAGTGAGTTTTCTTTAACATATATGGTTCTGTATATATTGGCTATCAAGATAAGGTTGGTTGATAAATGATTAGAAAGCTGTCTGTGTTTTCCCATGCTTCTTGAATTGCTTAGTTTAGGATTAGGTTGACCCATTCAAAATTGGGGGTCTTTCATCACTTTAAAATTATTTTATGTATTTATTTTATTTGAGATGTAGAGAAGGGAGAGGCATGCAGAACTCCCAAACACTGGTTCATTCCTCATATGTCTGCAGTGGAGCCAGGAACTCAATCCAAGTCTCCTATAGGGGTCTCACTACTTGAGCCTGTGGCTGCCCAAGGTCTACACGAGGACGAAAGTGGAGTCAGGAGCCAGTGCAGGGTATTGAACTTTGATACAGCATGTGGGAATCCTAACTGGCATCTTAACCTTTAGGCTAAACACTACGCCATTTGATTACTTTTGATATAAAAATTAGGTATGGGTAAACTTAGGTACTTGTTATATTGTAAATAGGTGAATATGTAGTAGGGCTGGCTGAGCTGCTTATATAGAGCAAATTTTAGATAAGCTTT